GGATTACTGTTACTCAGAAGATGGCCCACTTGTGAAAGCTATTAAGGCTCATCCCTTAGGTTTTCGGGTAATCGATGAGTGTCGTGATGCAGAAGGATACACAGCATTACATCGAGCTGCTCAAGGTGGTAACCTACTTGGACTAAGAACGTTTCTCTCGTGGGGTGCTAATCCCACTGTTTTGACTCCTCACGGACACAGCTCTTTGGACCTTGCAATTATGTGTGCGGGAGCAAGCCCCTTTCCATCCAGTCGAGGCATAGAAATCGCAGAAAGAGCGGCAGATCTCTTGCTTCGAGCTACAAAAAGTTTTTCCCGTTTTGAAATTGGATGTAGTAGCAGCCAAGCAAAGCTCACAATATACCACTTGTCGGCTTATAGAGGTCTGAGCGGTTTTGTTAAAACACTATTTAATGGTACAAGTCTTCGTTTCGATGTTAAATGTTCCAATCTGCATGGTATAACACCTTTGTACCTTGCCAAATTAAAAGTAGGGACTGTTAATAGTTCAGACGGTGACAGAGACCTGTGGCAGGAGATTGTAGACTTGATTGAAGAATATGGGGGCGTACTTACCTATCCTAGTCGAGAGGTAGAACTTAATGTGATCTATAGACATCTCTATGGAAGCTACCCCAATTCGTTCACGCTAGAAGAATTTGAAGCCAGCGGCAAACAGTTTTACGAAAGTGAGGTTAGTGCATGCAGGGAAGGCGACTTGAACTACTACCAGACTGGGACTTTAATAAATCCTTACATGGAACCAGTCGAGAGAGAACTAAGGCGGATAAGTGCTGTTTCCTTACCAAAGGTTAAAACGCAACGCGTGGTCGCTCTTGATACAAAAGTGCTGCAAGAAACTCTTAGAACTCTCTTTGTGGCATCAAGAGCCCTAAACGAAGTTTCCCAACTTATGAATGACGTTAACGAAGGATATAAACACGCTGAACTTGTGGGAATCAAAGGACGAAATGTCCTCATAAATACGTCAACAGTCCTGTCTATTAAAATCCCAAAACGCTTGAAAAGTTCTAAAACTACTCGGAAGTTACTGCAGAACAAGAAAAAACTAAGCCGTCAAGAAGAAACTATTCGTGAGCTTCGTTTCTCATGGGAGTCAACAAAAGCGATCAAGTCCCACAGGAACGAACGCCTTAAGGCCATTTTGCATACGCACAGCGAGTTCTTTGGAGACATAAGCGAATTATTGCAACTTCTAGAAAAACACGACGAAAGTGAACTGTGCGTGGAGGAGATTTTTCAAGCCAAACTGGTATCATTAAAGTTTCGTACATATGTGCTTAAGTCCGAAGTTGATGACCTGTTAACTTTGATGCGAAAGTCTTACAAAAAGGCTGAATTTGTATCTAAAAGAATCCCAATTGAATGGACAACACCAACAGTGAATGGATGGAATCAAGCTGTCAAATTTCTTTACAAACAGGCTACCCGCAGAGATTTGGCTTTTGATTACCTTAAAGACCTCAGTTTGGGTTTAGATAAGGAAACCCGTATTCCACTGAGTGTAGACACCTTATATAATAGTGCTAATGCATGTTGAAATTTCACCACCAAGCCTCGCAATATATGAAAGTGTAAATCGTACATTTTATCACGAGCAAATTCCCAAAGCTAAGCAAAGATGAAAAGAATACCCAGGTATAAACAACACGAAAGTGTCAGAGGTTTGAGAGAATTTCGCGCAAATAAGGTTTGGGGCTGAATTTTGAGCATGAGACAACAGGCTCCTTTGCGTATGCATACAACCAATTTTTGGGAAAAACCTAAGTACTTTCAAAAATTCCAGACGTTAAAATTTCGGACGTTTTATATCGGAGGTTTAATTTTCGGAAACTTTTTATCTCATTTAGGACAAATTTTTTAACTAAAATTTCAGACACTGCGTAAACATAGCTAAAGTAAATTTACGCGTGAAACAACAACTGTGAAAATGATAGTTTAACTGCTCCCTTCAACAACACGCATTTGGATATCACAAAGATACTTTTGGAGAACGCTTATATCCAAGTCACTATTTTTCATGAGCATTATTTATGTCGTTCACCTATTTGTTATTATGCAGTGTTTTGGTTATTAGCCTTATTGCTGCCGTTTAGTGAAGCTTGATGACTTCACACTTTCCGTTCGGAAACACTCGTTTACTTCTTAGCGCAGTTAACTCTACTCTATAAGAAAGGAAAAAACCGCTCAAAATAGCAGACACATTACAGTGAATAATTTTAAAGAATCGCCCGATATTAATTTTCCCAATTATAGTACTATACTTAGCCATATCAGTCAGTGACTTGATATCGCAGGAAGCCAGGACAGTAGGCACGGCTTCTGATCGGTTAATTGCGAATTTGGGTACCGGTTCTTTAAATAGAATTATATAGACAGGATATTACACAGCGGCGCGAAGATATGACTTTTATTTTCGAGTGTTGACGACAATATTTTACGAAATATGTTATGTTTATCTTTGTTATGTTGAATGTGTTATTCCTGGTAGAGATGTAGGAAAAAGAAGAGGTGCTATATATTTTTTTAAAACTTGACAATGTCTGTGTAGCGTGAGGTAAGATGACTGTTACATGGTTACGTGGTTACTCAAAGAAAATGAAAAACAAAATATAGCATTGTTTGATGGACATGCTTGAGTTTGTGATCTGAGTTTGAAACTCGCTAGAAACACGACAGAAACTTTAAATGCTACTGTTTTACAACAGAATTGTAAACTCAGTCCTAGAGCATCGTTTTCTTGTGTCAAAAGTCAACGATTTATTGCCTTGGTGTAATCTGATCTGATGATGTAATTGTTCTGTTACAAAGGACGAAGGGAAAGGGATTTTTCCCGAATAAGTGCTGGTGGGATTACCATTACAAACACGGAAAAGTCACGATCAGTTTTCGTACATGAATTCTTAACAGTTGTAAGAGAAAGTCATAAGAGCCAATCTGCGGAATAATCTGTTTTAGTCAGGTAAGAAGACAGTCGCGCAGATGTGTCCACTAAATAATAGTAGTTTCTTAATCATTCAATCATTACTTAGTGAACCTAGTTAGCGTCTGACGGTCATAAAGTCCGGCTCATTTCTCGATTGAACGCCCCCAGCGTTTATTTCAAAATTGTCTGGGGGCATGTTTATTTTGACTCCTGCGGTTTATTCGATCCTTGTTATTAAATTACGCTTTTTATCCATTGATTTTAATAATTTTACCATTACACCTAAATTTTTAATATTATACCTCGAACAAATGCTGCTCGAGGATTTAATTAACAAGGGGCCTCCACCCTGGAGATCTTGCGTTCAATCGAGAAATACGGCAAGCGGTTAGTGGGTTTGTTCAGGAAGTATTTATGAGAACCATTCAGTCTAGGTTAGGCGAATTATTTGTTTGCTATCCCTCTTTAGTTTAGGCGAGTTATTTGTTTGCTATCCCTCTTTCAGTGTGAATGCGGCTATCTATCAACCAGAGGATGATAAATTATAATAAACAGATATTGGACCAGCAGCAACACAACACAACAGCAAAACGAAACGGATCAGTAACTTAGGTTAACGAACTCGTCAAAAAGAAATGAAATCTCAATAAAAGGATATTATGAGCACTGTTAATACACAGTAATAGCGTCATTTTAAAAGCTTAATTGAACGGGCGACTTAACGTCAAGTCCGTATCAGTCTACCTCAGTCGTAACAATCTCTGCACCATTTTATAGTAGATTTACAAGGTTCGCTGTTTGGGTTACATCTTCTTAATATTAATATTCCAAATAAAGCTCGACAACGGCATTAGTTCGCGCGCTTTCCTTAGAAGCGAGGCTGGTAACTAGGGAACCACGAAAAATTCATCATAAATTGTTGTCGGCAAATGTCCTTCTCAAATTGCTTTAGTAAAAAAGTTTCCGTTGTCGAGGAAAAGGTTGTTGTTATTCATCGTGGTCATCCGCCGCTGCCTAGGACAAGGCATTCGCACAGTCTTTAAGTCCGACACGACACTTCGGTCGCACTTCGCACTTAGTGCGACCAAAGGACACCGTCAACCCGGCTAAACAAGATGGTGTTGTCTACAGGATTCCCT